TCGACTGGAAGCTTAGGTGTTCATGAATAATCTTTGATATCCAAATACACTATTTCTGGCATGTTGTAGAATTAGAGAATGTTTCACTATAATTGATGTGAAAAAAAAAACCAGACTGAAAAATAATTTAATATTACTAAATTTAAACACTATTAATGTACAGAGCCTAGAAACTGTACTCAGAAACATCTCCATTGAGACTACAGAGATCACATTCAAAAAGGAAATTGAATAGGCTCCAACTTTCTCCCAATTTCCTGTATGATAAAATCATGGTCTGCACACTGATAAAACAAGGAACTAGATCTTAGTGACTCAAAGATTGGAGGCACAAGTATCCCAAACACAAAGTTTATCTCCATAGTGGAAGGGAAAACCAGACACCTCAGGGATTCTACGAAGAACAGATACATCATGCAGAGCACAGTCTGCTATCTCCAGGACACAGTGAAAAATGTCAGAGGCACAGCAGGAAGGATTCAACATACATCTGTGGAAACTCTGAGACAGGAACTTAGCCAATGAGCCCTGTGCCACCATGTTGATTAAAAAAGACCTGTCTTACAAGAGAAGCGTTCCATTGACAAAGCTACTAACATCCACAGAATGAGATACAACATGGCCAAAGTGCCAGAGTGTGTGCTAAAGTGTTTGTAAGTCTGGAAAGAAGAAGAAAGTAACTGGCCAATATACCAACGCAATCCTTACATTACAACTAAACCATGTTCAGATCATCAACACTTTCCTAACGAAAATTCCTCACAGCAAGAAATATCAAGAAAAGGCACAAAGCAAGACTACTGCTGGCAGGTCAAGGAAGGTGACATTTGCCTCCACTTAGCACTGGTAAGGCCATACAAGGAGCCCTGGGTCCATATCACTCAACTTATCTGTAAAACATCTGCTCACTGGAAATCATAAAGAAGAATGCTGGAGTGCAACTCAAGCCACAACATGGCATCTGCCACGACTAACCTAGATTGAGTTAAAAAAAGATCAAAAGTATATTCCTCGTGCAAGTGCCTCAAGAGTATACTGTCACCTCCACCAGCAGCTGTAAACTAAGGATATCTGCCATTGAAAAGACTGCTAGAAGCTAAGCTTTTGGATCTGTGAGGGCAAATGTTGCTGTACGGCTTAGAATGATCAAAAAAGATCATATCTCAAGAGTAAAGCCTTTTCTGAGCGGGAAAATCTTGCTGAAGCTGAAGTTGCTGTAATAAACTCTAAGATATGTTTGGCAATCATACACCTTTAAGTCCAAATTAACAAAGAGCTGAAGACAGTATGAAGAAATGGACTCACAGAATCACAGAATTGTAAGGCTTGGAAGGGACCTCTAGAGATCACCAAGCAGGTTCCCTAAAGCAGGTCACACAGGTAGGTCTTGAAGTCATCTCCAGAGAAAAAAACTCCACCACCTCTCTGGGCAGCCTGCTCTAGTGCTCCATCAGTCCTGGCAGTGAAGAAGTTCTTCCTTGCATTAGCATGGAACTTCCTGTGTTCCAATTTCTGCCCAGTGTACCTTGATCTATTGTTTCTCATCACCAAAAGGAGCCCACCCCATCGACTAGACTCCTACACTACATCAGGGCAGAGTAGAAGGGAGGATCTTCCTCCACCTGCTGACCATATTTTAATGCATCCCAAGATACCAATGGCCTTCATGGCCACAAGGGCACGCTGCTAGTTCATGGCCAATGTGCTGGCCACCAGGTCCTTTGCTGCAGAGCTCCTTTCCAGCAGCTCAGGCCTTAATATGTACTGATGCATACAGTTATTTCTCCCCAGGTGTAAGACTGTATACTTGCCCTTGTTAAACCTCATCAGGTTCCTCTCTGCCCACCTCTCTACTCTGTCCAGGTCTTGACGAATGGTAGCACAGCCTTCTGTCGTGTCAGCTGCTCCTCCAAGTTTTGCATCATCCAAAATTATGACTCCTACTCTAAAAACTTCTTACTAACTGTAAATTTAGAGGAAAAAAAAAAAAAGACATTATATCATTTGAGCTGGACTGAATTGCTGTTAAAAGTCTTAGCAGATTCTGAGAAGTAGAAAGTCAAAGCAGAAGAGTAAGTGACAGAGTACTGGAGCAGGCTTCCCAAAGAGGCTGCAGAGTCTTCTCTGGAGATATTCAAAGCCCTCCTGGACATTTTTCTGTGCATCCTACTGTTGGCAACTTTCTTTAGAAGGTGGTTGGACTAGACAACTTCCAGAGGTCTTTTCCAACCTCTACAATTCTGTGTTTCTTAATTCCTGAGAAGAAAAGTAGCATCCTTGAGACAGAGTAGCAACCTGGACAAAATAGCTCCTGGAATTTTCTTAAAAACATACATTTCAACTTTGCGGATGTCGTGCTCAGTGATGATCAGCCTATCTGTAAAATAAAGGTTTGAATGAAGGAAGTGGCAGCAACAGAGATCTGATATCCCTTCAGGGACATGGAGGGTCAGGTCCTCTATGACCCTCTAGGACATATATTTGAAGTCATGGCTGTCAATTTTAATAAAGAAGCTGGCAAAAGCCTGTGAGGACTTCACATCTGTTTTGTGGTATTTGAAATCTCTAAATTGTGTTTGGATCAAGTTCCCTGGTATAAAATGTGTTGAAGAATGTTTTTTTTTCTAACAGATATTTACGGAAATACTACTAATCCCTTCTTATTAAGACACACAGCTTCTGAAAAAAAGTTGCTATTTCATCAGTCCTAGAAGAGTAGAGAATGCATCAAACGTCTTTCTTCTGCCTCCTTGGGCTGATTAGCTGTCTGTTATGATCACGAAGGACCACAGAGCACTCCCCCTTCAGTGTTCACAATTCAGTAATGTAAAAAGCAGACAATAAGCTTGTTCACAGGTGTATTACTAAGGTAAAATATTATCTGGTCTCAAATGAGAAGGCATATGCTTACTCACTCTAAACACACATCTTTGGTAGGACATACTCACTTTGCTCTTTTCTATATAATTTGCACAATCTGACATTCAGATACATACTGCAGGTTTTAACAAGTCATCATTTCCAGTGTTAGGAACACAAGATTTTTAAGGACTAATTGTTATCTTACAGAGTCTCAAAGGGGGAAGACGAAACTATTTCAAACTGAGTTAAAGCTTGAAATGGTTAGTCCCATCAGCTGAATTCTCCATAAAAACATTCCAGGTTTGCCAGCTAGAGGAACTGAAAACAATATCTTTGGATTTAAAACCTTGCAATTCAATTGTTCATGTTAAAGGAAATGGTTGCAACAAACTGATGGCAATAGCAAACTACAATGTTTGTGCAATCCCAACTAGCAGTAAGAAGAATGTTTTTCTACGGGCAGGTTATGTTTTGTTGTTTAAGAAGCTTATAAACATACTTTATAAAACAACTTAAATCACTTTTTATTACAGCAATGTAGTCTTCTATATGAGAACACAAGTTCAAAGTCTTTACGTCTAAAGGTCTGGGCCCCTACTTAGTCAGCCACAGAGACCAGATAACTTTACTTGAAAGCAGCAAGGAACAAATCTCACAAAATAGGCTAGCCACATGAAAAGATGAAACTTTCTTAATATGGATTACAGTGGCTTCAGGAAGTAAAACAATTACCAAAAAAAAAAAAAGCAGGAAAAACAGAACCTTCAGCACTACTAAATGAACCACTGAAAGAACACTCTGAAGAGTTAAGTAGAGCAAATAAGAAAACACGAAAAAAACAATGTAAGAGTCAATGGAATAAAACAACCTCACTGACATTTAACATTTACATAAAGGTCAGATTCCCTACGTTTTGGTTAAGTATTCAGCTGGGATCTCAATCTTTGGAGCGTGCATGACCAATTTTGAAAACAAAGCAAAAGCACAGTAGAAAAATTAGAAGTCTGTAAGTATTCCTAAAAAGAAAAAAAGCCAAAAATTGACACTGTTCAGACAGGGAATAAGACTGATCTAGAATTATTAATGACTGGTTTATGGCTAAACTGCATAGCTGAACTTTCATTCCCACATGGAGTTTGCTGTAATGGAACTGAACATGACCTAAACCATCATGATTTATAGGTACGTACTAGAAGAAAAGGCACTGGCCAGGCACACCAAATTAATTAATATTCTGAACTATTAAAATGACAATAATTTCACAGAATTGCTACAATTGCTACAGGGTATAGGGAAAAAATACACAAAAGAGGAAAAAAAAAAAAAAAAAGCACATTCACAGCATAATATATAGAACACATGATCCAAGAGCAGTTTCAGTCAGAACAGAAAAAAAAAATTCCATAAAATTAAAAAAAAAAAAAAAAAAAAAAAAAGCAGTTGTTTGGGAAATACTGTGTGTGACTTGCAAATATCATTCATTATCATTCATTGCGTTGGGGTTTAGCATCCTTTGGAAAATCTCTCCAATTTCTGACAGTCTACATTTTCTTATTCAGACCTGCCTGATTTCACTGACAAGATCTACATGTTTTTGTCCAGAAAGATATGTAGGTTGGTGTAAAATCTGATTATCCTTTTCCAGTAGCTCCTGAGAAAATTTAAGATTGACAAAACAGCATTCCTAATTAAAGTTATATCTACTGAATTCTTAACTTGTCTCAGAAAGTTAAAGAGGAACAATTCCATTTGGTTCTGTTGCTACAAATCCCCATTAAATTATTCACATACTGATACCAGGATCACCCACCACCCAATGCTTCAAATCAGCATGGCTTTAAAGTGGCTGGTGTGAAAGGACTGATTTTCCTTAAGACGTGCCCTTCTACAATTACTGCAGTCAACGTTGATAGTGAAGTGGAACCAAAAGCAGCATCTGGAACACTGCAAGGCAACAATATTTGCTTTGAATTTTTTCTATTTTTTAATTCAAAATTTTAAGCAGATATTCATCACTTACAATCTTCCCATGACATGATGAGACTGACTTACAAACACAGAAAAAGTAAATTCTTGACAGGCTTAGGAATCAGGATGTATCAAAGATAAGGATCTGACTTGGAGCTCTACAATCTTACCTTCTTCTGAAGAACGTTAACTTTGCGTTCCTTCACCTCTAACATATCCTTGAGATCATGGATCTCTCCTGCTTGAGTGCCTTTCTCCTCTGCAATCTCCTGAATCTGCTTTGTCTTCTTATTTAGCATGGTCTCTTTCTCCTCCAGACGTAAGCGTAATGCATCCACCTAGATTCAGACACGCAGAAACAGGGTTTGTTTAGCACTGAAGGAGAGAACTCTTACAAAGATAAACTGCACTCCCACAAGGAACCATGTGCTGACAAATTACAAAGAGATTCTGAAAACTAACATCAATTTGAGACTTCAGCATATTTCAGTTTGCAATCAGTTACATGTAGTAGGAGATCAGAAGATGAAAATAATCAGTTGGGGTTTTTTTCCCCCGAATTATATCCAGAACTATACTTCTAACATAGTTCAGTCTTAATGCAGTACAATTTTGGTACTTTTCCCTTCAGAGTAGAAGATAGCACCATACCAGCAGAGGTTCTCATATATGTAGGAAAATTGACTCTTTTATTTGAAACACTACTAATGTTAAGAGATTTAAATTCGGAATGTTAGTACTAAATAGTCACTTTATAGTCTAGATTTATTGAGAGTCTTAGCTCAGCCTGGACACAATGAAAGTGGCCACTTCAGATCAAAATATGGGACGCAGATTGCTTTACAAAGGCTAAGAATATTTTCACTTAAATAGCAACAAATTAGTTTAAACGTAAGGTGCTTTTTTTCTGTAGGATGCAGCTTTGTGTTAAAGATAAGATGGAACAAATGACATACAACAGGATATTGTGGGTGCTATTTGGACAAAGAAACGGAGCTCCTATAGTCTCAACAACCTTTGAAAGACTGCTAATTCTGTGGTATCCTCAAACTTCAAAACTGTACATTGGGAAACTTTTCCTTCTACACTTGTCTTGCACAAATGAAACACACAGACTGCAACACAAAAGGAATGGGAGAAGAACTCAGAGCTATCTGAATACAAATTTGATGAGAAGAAAAAGGTCACCACAGAGCACAGACTAATCTCAAAGACCATTGTGGAACATGAAATCCAACACCAGCAACCTGCTCAAGAGACCAAAAGAAACCCACTGACCCCTATCCACTCAACATTCACACAGAGCTCAAACCTGCCAGCCTGGCTGCTAATCTTATTTGACAGTACCAGATTTGGTTCCTGTTAGCTGAAGCCATTACAGGACATCAGTCACACAAAGTAAACAGGGTAATCACTGAATTTCTTGGTCCTTGTACATAGCAGAGACATGAACTGAAAAGACAACGTGGACAACTCTGGCTAGAGAAACAGTTTAGGTAGACACTTTGCTTGTGGCACTTCGAGCAACATTTAGTTTTAATGTGCTTTTTTGATTCCACTTTATTTCAATTTACTAATGGAAAACCTGCCTCTAAGGCTCTCCATTTACAGCATGTTATACCCACAAAAGCCACTGTTGTTTTGTCTGATTCCTTTTACACAGAGCAACGAGTTCCCGCCGTGGGGCAAAAGGCCTGCCCTGATCTTCTGAGCAGCACCACAGTCCTGCTGCCACCTCGATGTCTGAAGCTTTCCCACTTACACATGCATTATTAAAAGCACATTCCTAACCTCTCACCTAGCAAATAGTGTGTGGAGTACATTTTGTAGTGATACCAGAGAAACAAGCACTACCCAAATATGATATATAGAATTGACAGTGTTTGTAACAAGAAGTTTAGCAGGTAGAGCTAGCTTTCTTTTCTTTAAACTAACACAGAGGCTGATTAGGTACGTCCTCTGCATGTACTTAATATTCAAGCTAATAACCATTTTCATTCATACTTAAAGGGAAACTGAAAATCTCTCTCAAAGGCAAATCCACAGCCTCAACATTTGTGTTACAAAATATTCAAGGTATTCCAGATGCCTACAGTATTAAGGAAACACAGAACATCCGCAAACAGAAATTTATCCACAAAAGCTTTCCATTTTCTGATTGATTATTCTCTTTGAACTCTGTATTAGCTTACGGTTTGGAGCAAATTGCATTCCTGGTTTTATTTGTGTGAGGTCCCTGCCTAGGAAACCACAGAAAACACTTTCAGGAATATTTTCAAAGGCTGGCAGGACACACAGTCATTACCTTAACACTATTCCTGGCAGTACACTGCACTTGTTTATTCATGTCAACTTGGTTTATGTATGGCATCCTCCCACAGTGACAAGAATTGAGGGCTGCTGGAGTCAGGTGATGCCAATTTCAACAAAGTCAGCTTAAGATTTGTTCTGCACCTGGAAACAACCGGGCAAACAGCTGTTGAGGTGCTGACACCCCTTCTCCTGACTTCTCTGTCCTGGATGGCGTTGTCTTAACCTAGGGTTAACCTAACTGCTTTCACAGTAATAGTGTGCCATGACTTTATGCACGGCAACTAAGTCTCGCAGCACAGCTCAGGCAACTGCTAGTCCTTTGCTTAACAGCACAGTTGCTAACTCTGCCTGCACATACCGCCCAATTTCCCATGAAGCTTTAATAAAATAAGCACATCAGTTGCCATCTTCAACACAACAGCCTGCCTAGGTACAACAGGTAGCTCTTCTCATCCAGGTACCATACATAAGAATTTTCAATTTCTTCACTGTAACAAACATATGAAAAACTGTGTTATGAAATGACTGATCTGCCTTCACAGAATTTACCAGTAGCAGTAAATTATACTCCATAACTGTTCCTAAACTACATAGCCATACACACAGCATAGGGAATTCTGAATTTCCAAGAAGAAAAGAACATTAGTAACTCCAATTACTACAATTAGCATAAGAAATAATATAAAATTTAAACTACATTTATTCTTAAGTCCTTTAAAAAATATCTATCTTGGAATCTGTAATTAGACTTAAAAAGTCCACAGTGAGTTTCAGAATTCACTGAAGAGCTTGAGACAACAGGGCTTAGGTTCCACATGTGTTTTTTCTCATTTTAACCACCATCTCTAGTGTACTGTAGAAATCAGGCTATTATTACTATGCTAATAATTTGCAGTAGGGTTCCTGAAATTGTCAGTAACATCTAGAAAAAACAATATTAAAACAATATCTTTATTCCAAGATTGATTGATTCTTCTGTCTAATTTCGTGAGTCACCCGCACAAACCATGGCATAACCATTTGTTTAGATCCATGAATAATGTCATGCTCCATTCAGTCAGATCAGAAAGAACAATGTTCCATACCTTTTATCCAGAGCCTGGTTTCTTTCTAGTGGCAAAATGCAAAGCATTTATTCTTTGTTGCTATCTCTACACTATTGCCAGCAAAAAGGACAGAATATCTACTGAGAAACGTGTTAAGAGCTTGCTATGACTTCTAACAAGTGCCTGCTATTTTTAAGACAGATGTTGAAGTGAATACAGAAATAATTAAGAAACGCACAGCAGATGATGGAACACTGTGCTTAGTGTGTGGGGTGAAATGCTACATTTATGTCACTGTAAATATTGCTATGTGAAGTATCATGCACCTGAAACAACGTGTTAAAAAGAATAATTTCTGTGACGTCCTATAAGAAATTAGAAACACAAATTGAGTTGTTTCCCTGATAGCATGGTCAATAGAGAAATGTTTACTGACTGATTTTGAATACAGCAGCTGTTCCCAGGACTTCATTCTCTACTTTTGACATTGATCTTTCTTATGAATGATGTTAGAGTTGACTTTTCACCTTGCTATCCAAATGACCACAGTACTCAGTCAGGCCTGTAGAAGAGCTGAGAGCAAATCCTTTATGAATGTACAGCTCCTAGTTCTCTGGACAGTTTCAATTACACAAGTACCTTGCAGAGCTGAGGCTTTGTGCAGAGGCTGTTTGCTTCTTGCTAGGCCTGTAAGCTCAATAGAGGACACTACCTTCAGGGCTTGCTTACGTCAGAAAACAGTTAATCTCTTCTTCCACAACCTCTAGCACGTGGTACTAAATACTTTAACATGGCAAACTCAGTTTTCTGAACTGAGAATATTTGCAGGTGTCAGCAGAGATCTTGTTAGAGACACCCAATTCCCATTAATATACTCCTCCTTCGTTTGGGAGTCTATTCAAATTCCTAAATGCAAGTAAAAGCCCCAGGAAAGAAAGGCCTATAAAGTATTCTATATTCTAATAAGACATTGGAAGTAAACAATATTGTTGCTGATGACTTAATGTTTGTTGTTTTTTGTTTTTTTTAAAGATATAAATCTGAATTTACCAAATGGAATAGACCAATTACAGTTTCATGTCAAGCAGTACATGAAACAGAAAATTCCCACTGATTAGTCTAAGCACTCATTGAATCCATGTACCAGATAGCACTGAAACAAGCTGAAGAGTTCACTGAGGTATAATACAAACTTTACGCGGAAAAATGCCAAAATACATATTTTTGGATTGTTTCATTTACGAAAGGATTATACACATTTAGAACTATTTTTATAATTTCCCTCACAAATTGAAAAGTTAACCACAATATCCTCTCCACCCAGTAGCCCTAAAGATAAACATGCCACAAATTAGACACCGTTCTTTGTAGTTCTGGTAATGGCACGTATCAGATCCATCTTTGATACACTGCACCAAGGTAGGTATTGCCATGCCTCCCTGCAGCTTTATTAAAGAAAAAACAGAAAGGCTCATGAAGCCGTGCACCTTTCTGTCAAAATGTTTATTTTAAAATGACTGTAAAATATCATTCCCTTATGAAGATTTCTGCCAATAATGAATATTGAAATATTGAATGAAATATGGCAGAAAATGCACCTCTTTTCTTCCTCACACATTCTCCAGGCATCTAGACATAAGCTATGGAGATATTTTAACACCAGCCAGTGTTGTCAAGAATACAGTGAGACCAAGCAAGATCTTATGCTCCTATCCTATTTCCAGCAAAAAATATTCTATAGAAAGATGAACATTGCTTTAAGAAAGGGCTGTCACACAGGATGCATCAAGCATCTTAATGATGCAGTTTATGAATATCTTTCCAACTCATGCTTGAGAGGGTCTCTTGTGAAGACAGAAGAAAGGTGAGTAAGATGATTTAATTGTTGAGTTTTCTGTCAAGAACATCAGCAAATATGACGAAGATGTGATTATCTTTCAAAAACTGTAAATATCTTGTTGGAATTACATAAAAATTCTCAGAAACATAAATAGGTAATTCTAAATATTCAACTTAACGCTGATACAATGGAATACTCTGATGAATCAAAGGCACTTTGTATGTGTTTAATCCATACTAGATTGCTACGTTTTACTATGGAAAATGCACTAGACTGTATTTGAACTACTTTTCCAGAGAAAGTACACCATTCACAGCTCTATAATCCATTTAAATCTATCAGAGAAGCATCATGCTGAAACAGTGCTGTTAACGTTTTAACTCCATAGCAACTACTTACTGAAAGACAAAGACAGGAAGACAGACAGAAAATTGTCTTTCTCTGTTAGTGTAGATGTTGTGTTTCAGTTATAATATCTGGAAGGAAACAATATAAATAACCTAACAGCAAAAAGTAGAAAACCTCGCTGTCTCTCCTTTCAGGCAAATTTTATTATTAAGAGAGCCATGTCATGTTTCAGAAATACAGTGAGATGATTTGCTTTTGTAAATGACAATCTCATTTGGAAGAAATCAGCAAATATTTTCAACGATTAGTTAATATTACAAGTCATAGAATAGTATAAAATGATTTCTACATTAAAAAGAAACACCTACGGTGGCCTTCAGCTAAAGTAAAATCAAAATGTCTTGAATAACTATCAAGAGTAGCTCCCAAAGTTATATAACAATGTCTTTTAGTTTTTAAATATTTTGTTTAAATTACACAATGTGTTTCCAGTAAGTTTGTTTGTAAGCTTCTCACAATACTCAGTGATTTAATATTTTTATATTACTTTCAATCAATATAATGAATGAAAAGCTGCATTTTTTATTTTTAATTACTTTTAACCTAATATCTACTTCCACATTCAGTCATCCCAAATTATTTGCCTATCTCAAATGGTCTGTTAATATAACCAAGCTTAAACATAGTTTTCATTTTCAACTCGTACTTAAACTGTAATATTGCTGCCTTTGCTTCTGATCTGGAGATGTCCCTGTGGATTCTCTCTGCCTTGTTTCCCTACCTCAGTTATGTTTAATAGCTAAATATAGTTTCTCTCTGTAAGACCTGCTTCACTTAGTCTTTCACTGTTATGCCTACACCCCTATTGCATTGAAGGAAATATCATTTCAGTCTTTACATAAATCAGAATAATCAGATCATAAACCAGAGAATAATCAGAAAAGCATTTTTACATCAAAGGGTATTTTCTGTATAATTTGATTTCTGCAGGTGGCTAAGGCCACATACACCCTCAGAGTCACTGAACATGGCTGAAGGAAGGCTAAACAAAGGTAAAAGGTGCAAATAAATTCTCTCACACTCTTGTAACATACAATCTTTCTACCAGTGTTAGCCACAAACTTTCTGTATGCTTATTCTATAGCTTAGCTTTTTGCTGGTTTAGCTGTAACAATTCAGATATTTTTTGATGCATGACTGCCATCTTTTGGGCTTCACCTAACATTACAGTTTTCCATGGCAGAAGACAGAAATGCTGTCTTCACACAACATGCCAAACTTCTTCTTCAAGAACGTCCAGTAGCAATAAATGCATATGCTATACTTATCGTCCATTTGATATTCAAAAATACTGCTGTGCTGGTTTTTTGGGGTTTTTTTTTTTCCTCTCTCAATTCTAGCTACAAAGTCATTGAAAATAAATTCCCCTAGCTCAGGCACTGCAACTTCCAATATCAGATGTGCCTAGGAACAATAATATTACTGGATTATATTGTACAAATGTGCATTTATCCATAGGAACACATCTGCACTTTCACACATTTCTTTACCCTCAATTCTTGGCCAAGAGAAACCAAGTACATAAGCAAAGAAACAATGTGCTCAGAACAAGGAATAGTAAATCATTATGGGATTGCATAATTGAAACAGGAAGAAAAAGAATATACTTTTTATCTCTTGCTCTATGGGAAGTCAGTTAAGTGCACAATTGCCCATTTTACCTCCGTCTGCAGAATGGCAGCTCTTTGCTCTTTAGCTGTAAGAGACTCTTTCAGAACTTCAATATGCTGCTTGCTGTCAGAGAACTGATTTGTGAGGGTCTCCAGCTTTGTCTGCAAGGCTAGCAACTCTGTGTCTTTGCGTGACAGCTCCTGTTTCACCTGGCCAATCTGAAAAAGAAAGAAAAGATACAGAAAGAAAAAAATAATCGTCATTTTTTGTCTTTTCTACAAAAGTAAAGATAAATTCACATAAGTACCAACAAACAGTATGATATCCTTAACTTGTCTCAGAATTTTGAAGTCTTCAGTTACCTTGAATGGAAGGCCAGCAAAAATTTTTGTCATAAGCAGAAGGTACAAGGAAAAATGGGGGAATAAGAACGTTTACAGTTAAAAATGGCTTTTAACAAAGTCAATCCTGGTCACTTTTCAGAGTACTGACCAAAATCAGTTAGTTAGCAAGGAAAAGTTTTTAACATCGTGAAGGAAAATCGTAACAGGAACGTACTCCTACCCTGTAGCATCAAGAAAAGTATCTTTTCTTGATACAGATATCTAGAGGTTTCTCTTGTATATTACATAACAAAGATGGACATCTCTCCAAAAACTAGAATTTTTCCATTTTATAACTTCAACATCTTTGTGACACTAAAAAAAAACACACCACGCTAATCCCAAAAGTGCTAATGTTCAATGTTTAAAATGTCATGAACAAAAAAAACTGTCCAAGTCATCTTCAATTTTGGGGAATGTGTCAAGAACAAAATTAAACTGACATAAACTATAAATAAGATGTAAATTAAATCAAAATAATTAGAAATCTTGGGTAAATGCGCTTTTATCTTGCCAACACTGTACCAGTAATCAGGGCTACATTCTTTACCAAAGAGTAATAAAAGAGCATGAAAAGATTTCATTAAGAACTACAGTGTGTTCCATCGTGCAATGGGATATGGAAGCAGGAAAGAGATAGAAGAAGGAGAATTAGTTTAGAGAACTGTTAGGTAGCTTATCTTTCACTTAATTCAGACATAATAGGATGTTTTTTTCATACTTTTTACTAAAAGCAAATATGCCCACAGAAGGAATTCACCATTTATTTAAACAAGATACAAAAGTACTGATGTAGCAGGGCTATTTCTGCCATCAGCTACTGACCAATACAACCAGCGGTGCAGTACTCCTAGATTCAGCACAATGACTGGGATGATTTAAACTGTTTACTGCTAGTGATGGATTTGTTTTTTTTAATTTGATCAGAAAAATCTTAAAAACTTCAGATGACACAAACTTTTTCAATGACTAGGTAGCACGAATTATATCTTTCTTAAGACAGTTTGCTCCTTCTTTAAAATAACAATTTCTCTGTGGGGTGGGCCATCTTAGAAGAAATGTTTACCCTACATACTAGTGTTTAGATGAAATTTCCTAATCTGAAGCAAACCACATTCCTTTACATTAAAATTCCCAAATAGCACTTCCAGATAGTTCTTTTTAAACATCTGTTTCAGAGAAGTAAATTGACACTGCCAGTGTACTAAAGCTCTCTAGGAAGAATGCAGTGGAATCCAATCAAGTTGCAAAGGAAGTTAAGGCAGCATTAAGAGCTCACATTTCTCTTCTCTTTGTGATTATATGATCACTCAGCAAATGCACTATTTTGAGAATAAAATTATTGCAAAGGAAAATTCATGCTGCTAAAATGAAACAATCAGTTTTTAAGATATTTTCAGCTTCTGACTTCCATTTTCTTGTGAAAGAATGTTAAGAAGGTTCAGCACATGATTGTGAGACGTTATCAAATTACTTTTATCCTACTGGGGAAAGTAAGTCCCTTTGAAAGTCTGGTACCACAATGGGTGCTGAATACTTTTCAAAATGTGCTACAGAGAGGGGAATATCTTACTGCTAAGAATGAATCATATCATTAAAAAGCAAATAAGAAAACAAATAGAAATATTAAATTGAAGAGTGATGTTGTGGACACCAGAACCATGTGAACCAAAGGCAGCTACAGGGCCAAGCAGGCTGTTAGTCCTATGGTTATACACAGTTGTAAAGAAGGTAAGAGAAGAAAAGTTACCCCGAAAGCAAGAGAGCTAGAAAGCCCCAGTGCATGGCCACTGCACACAAAAGATAAATCTTACGGCAGAGACCTCGGCCTGGAGACCAGCCACTCTTTTTTTCAGGTCCTCCCCTTGAACCTCTTTGGCACTTAGCTCTTCCTTCAGTTGCTCTACCTGTCACGACATTGTTATGCTTTTAAATATTTATCAATAATCATCTTTTGCTTAGCCTCTTGCAACTAAACAGTAAACTAAAGTTACTGAAGTAACTAAAAGTGACAAAGAACTGAATAGAAGAATCAACATTGGTCACTCTTTTTCTCTTCTATTCTTCATTAAATCTTCTCAAATGTTGTATGTCTCTGTGATTTCATACAGGCTGCTGGACAAACATTTGATTATGAAACAAAAATGCATACTCATGGTTATGTTTATATATGTAAAGTATTGGGCACTTCAGTTTTCAAACTAGAATTCATGAGGAAACTAGGACAAGTAAAGGGAGATTTTGCAATACAGGAGAAAAAAAAAAGTTAATTGTCAGTGTACACTCACAGTTGACTATACAATACAATATTAGAAAGAAAAAAGAAAGAAAAACACAAATTTTGTACACTTACAAAACAGAGCTGGACGACAAGATGTTCAGGCAAACAGAAGAGACCCAGAAAATATCAGAGTAGCTGACAGATATACAGCTAAGTAGATATACAAAAGCAAATGCACAGGAGGAGAAGAAATATGAGCACTACTAACAAGGGAAGAAGGAAGGAAGGAAAAAAAGAAAGAAAGGGAAAAGAAAGAAGAAAACTGCCTCTTCATTTTCCCAATTCGGAACTAGCTATCCTTTAGTTTCTAGAGGCAATGCAGTGGGATAAAAGAATGAAGTATAAAAGAACAGATGTGGCTATTTTTAAAGAAACACATACTTCGTACATGTTTCTATTTTAGGTCAAATAATACTTTTTCAAGAAACTTCCTCCAGCATTCTTTTTTGAGACAATTAACTTCAAGCAGGACAAATACAATAGGTTAGAATTATTCGTGACATGGAGAAATTTTCAGCTTCTTGTTTCAGAGATTTGTGCACTCCTTTTACAAAGTATGCACAAGGTAACTAAGAAAAGCAGAACTACTGACAACATATCTACACATCTACTGTATGAGGTGGCCTAGACGTCCATTGGAAAATGTTAGGCTTCACTAAGAAACACTTCTTTGAGAGAAACAAAGCAGCACCTGATATCTGTCTGTTGTACAATTTCAGCTATACAATGACAATACAGTAAGTCTGCATTCATTTTTATGCCTGAGGACCAACGTATCTCACTGCTACATTTGTCCTAAGACACAAATAACCCCAAGTGTATTAATTAAGGTTGGCACGATCACTATTGTAGAATATACTAACATTCTGACTCCACTAGCAGAAGGGGAGGGTAATGGAAAACAATTCTATTGACAGTTGATGTTCTTCCTAGCCTTTGTGTAATAAAAGATAATATATTCAAGGGGTGACAAAAAGAATCGTATTTTTTTCAGTAGGCTACATTTTAAAGGATAGCAGACAAAACCTGTAGCTATAATGGATTATCAACATTCTATAGATGCACACAAAATACTTCTGGAATGAAAGAAAGTTACAAATGTGGCAGTAAAAGTAGAATTTGGTCCACTGAACTCTACTGAATTTGAATATTCAAATTTGAATTTTAAATTCTTTTTAATATTTATAAGTTATTTTAGTGGCTACAGAGCAATATACAAGCAAACTCTATCTAACAGAGCTAGAATGGGAACCAAGATCCTAAGTACTTTCCTTAACTGAGCATGAAGATTTATTTCATTTGTTCGCTTTGGCTCATTTTGTCTTCCTACAGTCACTCTTTCTCAATACCTTATTTTTCATGAATTTGGAATGACTACGGTACACCTCCATTTGCTTCATTTCTTCTTCACGCTCCTCTGTGCTCAGAGCTCCATTTGACTTCAACATCTGAATCTCCTCTTCCAAATCCCGGAGGCCACGCTCCATGGAAGAAATTTTCGAATCCTGAAAAGGATTAAAAGAGACAGATAGTAAAACAGTTAGATGTTCTGGTAATATACCATAAGAGTAATAAATGAAATAATCTGTTGGGCATGTATCCACCCTTGAAATTTTCTCAAGTTCTTACATAAATCAATCTATACCTCTTTGCGTAGCATCTGGCTGGGCACACAAAGACGCAATTGTTTTTATACCTTTCAAGGAAAGCAAGACTTTAGTACTGGAAGGAAACATGGCTAGGGGCAGGGACACAGCGTACAAAGAATACATAAAGGACTATGAGAAAAGGTTGCCTTGTAATGCTAAGTCCAGCATAAAACAGAGAAATTTAATTCTAACTGAATGAGCAGCAAAACATGACTGCAAGTATGACAGGAAAAAAACAGTTTGTGCTGTTAGTAATTTGAGTGAGGTCATAAATGGAGAACAAAACATCTTAAGCAAGGAAGAGATGAAACAATCTAATTTTGAGTGATGAAATAGCAGAGATTCTTGAAGCGTTTTGGATAATACACACAAAATATAAAACATTTCCATTGCTAAAATACATACATCTGGAACAATGTGAAAGTTTACCTACCATTATCCTCGTGGCTTTAAAGAATGAACAGAGATTTTCAATCTATTTTCTTTATCATTTCTTTTGAAGTGTTATTTGTTAGAACAGCAGAAATAGATTAATTCAGGACACAGAGCTCCACACATACTTTTTACATGCATGTGCATTTACGAAATGCTGTCTTTAGGGCAGTCTTTTTCCTTCCTTTTTTCTTTCTTTCTTTTTTTTAACTCTGTTCTTCCAAAATATTTCGTTTTTCTTGAAATATGGATTGAATTTGAAGCAATCCTCCATTTTTTTCACAGACCATCTCTGAATCATATTTTTTGATAATCAAAATACAGCTGAATAAAAGCATGAAAGACCTTCATATGTAAGTTTTTATCCATGAGTTAACATTGTTCCAATGGACCATTATAAAGAAGTAGTTTGCTGCTTAATTTTTTATGCTTAAGTTAAAATCAGTAAGGCAGACTTTTGCAGCAACAACAAAAAAAACTACAGTAAGGTAAAGTGCTATGTTGTAATTTACAAGAGTATTCAATTTCAGCCCTCACATCATTTCCAAGAAATACTTATATTTCCTTTTAGATCATAAGACTGCTTATTGTTACCAGACGGTCAATTAGTTTTCATTGCTATGGATCATAAAGAAAAATAATAAAAGAAAGACAGTAGAAGAAAGGCTCCAGAGTAAAAAGACGAGAAATGACTACAGAAAATACTGAGATGGAATGGAATGGAATGGAATGAGTTGGAAGGGAAAAAAGGGAAAAGTTGGAAAGCAAAAGAAAAAGAGACAGATACAGAAGGTGGGAGAAAAGGAGGGCATGATAATGGAAGAAAACAGTTTGCAAAGACAGTTTCCAATTTTCAATTGTATTTGCCCAGACCTTGCTTGTTTGATGTACTTTATGGACGATCCAATAAAAAATATGATTACATAGTCCACCTGTAGTTGAGCTCTTGGCAAATTGCCATTGCTCCATTAGATATCTGAGTTAATGGCTGAAGAATTCAATCACAAATTCACTCATAAAAGTTAGGTTTAAGATAGTATACAAGCACCACTCCAGTTATACAACCTGTTCTTTAAGTGGATTTTGCAGTTGGAGATTGCTAACATCACTGATAGACAAAAAGCAAAAAAAAAATGGCATTTCAAAGGTTGATACTTTAAAAAGAAAGCAACCCACATCATCATAAAGACCTAACAATCCATCACCTCATTCTTGTAACACAATGGACTCTTTGGTAACTGAAAGGAATCTGGATATGTTGCCATAAGCAGACAACAAACAGGTTTCTATTGTGTCATGAAGTAGTTTTGTGTTTTCACTGGTCTCTATAAGATGCACAATAATACTGATAAATTATATATGTATTTATATATATGTTTTTTTAAATTAGGAGATTGACAGAAGTATATGGCATTTGAAGCAGTCTATTTTGCTATGAAAATTCATTTTACAAAGAATATTCTCTCCTGCTGGCTATATGCAACTGTTTACCTTCATCTCAATAACAGTTTGCAGAGCCTTTGTCTTGGCTGAGTCAGGAGCATTTTCAAACCGTCGATGTATCTCCTGTGTGAGGAGAAAACAAAGCAAAAGTTAGCCTAATGGCACTTTGTCCCATTTATCAAATACAAACAAAATTACTACAACCTACTCTTTCTGATATATGGCATAATTTAGCTGCTTTCTGAAGTTATCAGTTCATGTGTTTTATGATCTCTTACATGAAAAAAAAAAAAAAAAGAGTATACAAAAGCTCATTGAACAGAACCATCATCACAGTGCAAAAGAAACGAGAAACTGCATATCTGACCATCTACTTCCTCCAAATGAACTGTTGATAAGGTAGTTGAATATGCTAAAATAAATCTGTCATTTGCCTGGTAATCTAAACTGTTAGCATTAATTTAACTTCTGTTAGATTAATCTAAACTGTTAGTATATTCTCACGGAAGGCATATATGTCCATTACTTAACTAGATGTGTACTGAAAACAATAATGCTGTGGTTTCAACAAGCTTTACAGTGCAGCTGATAACTTTCTAAAACTTTTTACCACATAGCAGCAACATTTAATGGCATGTGATGAAAATCCTTCTCCGCTGGAGCTAGAGCGTAGCTCAAAGCACAGAAATGAATATCACCTTATTCTAGAAGATCGGAGCATGCAAACAGGAGGTTAGAAATGTCCATGTGATATTTCCATTTATGTGAATTTACAGACCTAGCATGTTTCAAAGGGCTCTCAATGGAATAAAATGGAAAATGCTAGAACACTAAAACAGCTTGTTCTCTCATATAAAGTAGGCACATATTTCAAACCAAACAAGTGCAAATACAGGAGAAACAGTAACTACTACTTTATTATTTTTGTCAAAATATTATCCTTACATCAACACTAATATTCAATGTAGGCACACGAATACATTTAGAATGTATTATATGACAAAAGAGTACTTTGGTGCCTATAGCATAACTAATACCAGTTACTGTAACCATCTGTTTACATGCACGTAGGTTAACCACACACTCCCATAAGACCCCTGCAAGACAAATCCAAAAAGCCATCCACAAAGTTGTGTTTTCAACAGAGATGGGAAAGGAAGAGATAACATCTTTATGGTAGTCATATGGTAGTCAATTATCTGAACAAGAAAGGTATAGAGTAGTACAGAAATTTCAAAATACTGAAAATATTACTTAACTACATTAAAAATAAATATTCTTACACAGCTGCTGAAATGAGCCAGGCAGAAATGTGCAGCCATGTGACAAGGGCCACAGAAAGAATTTTCCATCAGTTTGGCACAGGAAGCCTTTGTCAAGTTTAAGCTTGTGAATGGTAATAACAACAAAATCCAGCAGCAATTTTGTCTTTAAATACTGTATTTATGGATTTACTGAGAAAGTGTTTTTAAAAGTATGCTTGCAATTTAGAGAGATATTCCCTGATAAAAGGATCTTGGACAAACAAACCAGAAACAATCCTTTAGATAGATAGATAGATAGATAGATAGATAGATAGATAGATAGATAGATAGATGTAGATATATATTTCTCTCAGTTGGTCTCTAACAGTCTTTCACAGCTGCCTTCTGGTAGAGGGTCAGGGGCACGCTTCTTCTTGCCTGCAAACAGATACTGCTTCTATCTCTTCAGCAGGTTGTAAACCAAGTGAGGAGGTTGTTTCTCTACATTAAAGATGCTGATGTTAAATCTTGGGGAGGGCTTGGGGGAACACACTTCGCTGAGATGCTCTTTCCAGGGAGTCGATAATACGGCCTTCAAAATCTTGCAGAGATCATCTCCTTAACAACGTTGTAAGATTTCTAAAAGCAATCAGCAGCCTTTCGAAGAACCTTTATTACCCTGTTTCTTAAGCCCACTCTCGCTAAGAATAAGAAGCTGTCAAGACACAGTATTTCATTGTTACAAAGCTGGAGTAACATCCTCATGTCACCATGTCCAGCCTCAGCATTTCATTGAAACACATCAATGAAAGTACTTTTCCAGTCTCTCCACTACTCGCTATTCAACTATGTAATGAGATTCATTTCATACACTACTATGTGGTGCTAAAAAAGAAGCTCCTTATGAGCTTGAATTTGCTTTACAAACATTTCAACAGGAAGTCCACCATACAAGTTCCCCACGTGAAACTCAGAGCTATATCTCATCGCTTTCAATCAAAAACCATCGTACCACATACTGTCTTTATAAGAAGAAGCTACAATAAGCCTCTAGCACTCAAAAGAAGAATTTAGAAACACAATGAGAAGCAGTCCAATATCCACCCATTTACTCACTACTCTCACAAGCTGCCATCACAAAAAACTCTTCAGTGATCTTGGTCATCCTCCACAGAGAATGAACTGAACTAACTGCATTTCCTAAGGTAACTATGGCATATTGATCCATTTCCAGCAAATTCCATAAACTCTCCTTATTGAGCAGATTCAAGGATTGCAGCACAATCCTATGATTGGCTATCAGTCCTCTTGATCTGTGAATATAGATACTGTTGTATTGTTGTGTAATATATTGTTGCAGACACTGTTTCACTGAATATCTTAGCATGCAGCTTCAACATCAGCTAAATTGGAGCCTTTAAAAACTTTCAAAGGGTGTTCATGAACAATTCAAGTGATAGGAGTGGCCTTCTCCTAAAAAAATGCCCATATCCAGAATTTACAGAGTGGACACTTGCAACTACATTCATGCATTCACCAAACAGTGTACTGTTGGAGAAATATTCAGATACTTTACTGCTCTGCAGTGGCAGTCCTGTAGTTTCTGATGAACTCTCAAATTCACTATGTCTTTGGTTGAAGTGAGCAGCAACACTTGAACAAGAAAGAAAATGACCAGATGACCTCTAGTCTTTCTTCAGAAGAGACTCGCATACTGCCCATATCCTCCAGTCCGTCCTTTGAGTTCTCAAAGCCTCTCCCTGTGATTCTCAGATTGAAAGGAACAGACAAGATAAGGAACGGGGTGACCCTTTTGTAAAGGCACATGTGGCACATTAAGTGAGGTGGTATTTGAGAACACTCTGTAACACACAGCCTATGTGCTATAATACCAAGTTCTTCTGTAATCATTGCTCGGCAATGACAGCACAAATAGAAGAAATACATATAAACAACACATCTCAAAGGGTGCAGCTTGGCTCCTGTGATAGAACTATCCACAGTTGAAGACACCCCAGTCACATGTTGTGGACACTTTCAAACTTCATGTTCATATTAAGAATTAAAAAAAAAACCAAAAAAAAAACATGTACAGGAAGAAAAAAAGGTTTCAGTCACCCACATTTCAGGATTAAAAAGTTACTTTTACTCAGGTTTTCCGACTTAAAAATACATGCATAGGCAAAATAGAATAATTCTGAAGATAATTCCTCACCCTTTTGAGCTTCAAAAAAAAAGTATCCCATTCTGTTGCATGAACTTTCACTAGATTCAGAAAGTTATGTCTCCTTGTAACATCAGTTGAACAACCATCTAAATACTATTATTGTAGAAGAAAATGAAAAAGGATGATCATAGAAAAGATGTACAAACAATTCCTCTGGACTTTTTGAAAATGAGAAATTAAAAAAAAAAAAGTATATATATACATATATACACACAAACACACACACACACCCCAAATATCTGTTTCGAACAATCTACTTTCAGCAGTGCATTCAAGTTCTAAACGGTTTTGAGTTGTGCAGTTACCTAAGAATAAACAAGGAACTACTACGATGGAAATGCAATAGGTGGAAGACCCAGCACCTGATCAGCTTCTAAAGGCACGTTTCTAAAGGCATGTATCTAAAGCCATGCTGACACAAGACTGTCTCCTTTTCACACTGCATGGTGTTTTCACAAATAAAAAATTCTTCTTTCAAGCTTTTTCTTCAGAAAAGTCTGTATCTCCACTGTCTGAAGTAATCCTTTGCACTTCAACAAAGGAAATGTCCTACTTCTATCATCTTTAATAACTCCACTGTGATTTGGGTTAATTATAACAAAAACAACACCTCCCACCTCTCAACTGCACAATAAGGACTTGATTTTGGAAGCATGTCTATGATTCTGAAGGGTCTGAAAACAGGGCTGCAGTCACACCGAAACTCCCTAGAACACAAATTTAAGCGTGGCTGATGGAGGAACATTGTGCAGAAGCATCCTTCTTAATTGTGAAATGTAGATTTTGCACTTGTCTGTATGATGGAACACAGCAATATTAATAAATCACTGACACATTCAGGTTCTACTGTGGACACATACCACGTAAATGGCTGACAATTAGTACTTTAACTTTCATAACAGTACTCTGCATAGTAATCCAAGCACAGGGCAACACCCGGATATCATGATCAGAAAAATACAATCCTTCCAATCAATCCTTCACTCCTTACAAATTATCTGTTCTGGTAAGTAATTAAACAGTCCTTCTTCTGCCTTCAAATCAACCTTATACTATAAGAAGGGATATGTATTTGTTGATTTTTCTATATTTTTAATATTTTACATGCCCGAGGATTTCTTTATTAAAAAACAAAACAAAACAACAACATAACAAAAAGGAAATAAAAAGTAAGCTACTTGTTCCCACATCACCTGCCATATGCATGCTTCTCACTGTTACTTATCATTACGGTTAAAAATATACCTTTTCAACTACCCACTGGGAACATCTAGCTACCAGTCATTATGACTATTTTGCCAAGAAAATTGAAGAATGCTACATTTTCAAATTTGTTCCAAGTTTTGTGTTTAATATCACATTATTACAAGATAATGGAGTAGATTATTTTACATAAACAAAGATTTATATGGAGTGATGCCTTATTAGCCTCTTGGCGCTGGTGCTACCTCTACAGGTGTGTGTCAAGTTTGTGTGTCTACATCTTAAGGATGTTGTTATAATGAAGAGAGTTCAAAGAATGATTGCAGGCACATCATTTGTCTTTAGAAAAAAACAAAAACAAAACTAATTATGGTGCAACTTGATCACAAACTTTAAAATGCTTACAGAGGCAACAAAAATTCAAAATGGATAATTCTGGACAAACTATG